TTCGATGTTCGATACGTAGCAATAAATAGCATCGTGTAAAATCACTGATATCCACATAAATGGAACCTACAATAAATGATTTTAACCCAATTTAATATGATTGAATATGATCCATGCAAACAACATTAATGAGTTTCGACCGCTTTCCCTTAAAAGCGTTTTACCTTAATTCATTACAAAATTGCCCCTGGCGTAGGCACGAACAAAGTTTATTTAGTTTGTTTGGCCATAAACTGTACTGGTTATTGAGTACTTTAATGCGAATCTAATCTAAATTTTACTTTGAAAAACACTTTGAATAGGCTATCTATGCTGACTTAATAATGCTGACTGGATAATGCTTGCCAATTTTATATTATAGTCTGTGAAGACAAACATTCATTAATTTTGCATGTTCCTTAAGGTTGAATTAATTAAAGAAATTAACAGAAAATGTGAATTAATAGAGATACAATATATGTAGAAAATTGCAAAAGTTTAACAAGGTAACTTTGGAAACATATGGGAATACACAAAAACCTGATTTTTACAATACAAAATAAATGATTGAGTTCAGATGGTTTGAAAAGTCTTTTAGTGAAATCTCCAGATACTATCATCATACAAAATTGTATGGCGAAATTCCACAAATATGTCAATAACAACTTAAAGCGCTTGGTTCTTGGCCCTAACGCTTCTTGGTCCTAATATTATTTTTTAGAACACAAATTGGGAATTAATAAAAAAATATTTTCCAATTTTTTTCAGAGGGTCGGAACAGATTGTAATTTTTTAGTTACATGCAATGGCAATTCAGAAATAATGGTCATCTCTGATGCCACCGCTAAAATAGTTAACAACATGATTTCTGATCTAAATGAACATTCAGCTATCATATCTTCAGCGCATTTTCCTCAGACATCCACTATCCCCAAGCCGCAGCAAGTTCCCTAGTTTCCACTAGGCCCCGCTGGTCACCCATTTTGAGTGCGTGGGAGCCATTTTGGCCGTTGATCGATGCCGCCGCGCCATTGGTCAGAGCCAGCCGGGGTGACGTCACGCGGGGCCCCCTCATTAAGCGGTAACTCTTTGTTTTGATTCCGGGGGCGATTGCTCCCCTCATCGCGGGCCGAAGTTTTAACTAGACATCGATTTTACGACGGCAGTCGGCAGCAGTAAGATTTGTCTTGATTACAGCAAGCGCAATGCCGGGCCAGTTAATTGAGGTTCTATCTATGATGGAAGGGATTGGTGTGGACTTTGATTAAAAGTAGGGCTTACTCTGTAGTTGTAAATGATCTATGACTTTCCAATCACGTAACGAATAGTATTGAGTATTGACAAAGCTGTGTGAGAACTATAATTAAATAGAAATCATGTTAATTTTATGAGACAAGCGGGTTAGCCTATTGGTTTTGATCTTACGTTTTTTTGCATCTAGAACTGAATAATATAACATACGTAAATATACACAACATAATTATATTCTCTATATTTTCGATCAAAATATTGCTTTTTATTATGCACAACAACGATAAAATCAATAATGATATTAATGGCTATAAATCACCCTTCCAAGTTCAAGTCAAGGTTTCGAATTGAGATAATAATTTATGGTGCACTCTTTAGCATAGAAAAAATCTGTTCTATGGAACACACATACATTTAACGTATAGCTAAGTAAATTAGAAATTAAATATACTCTTTTTTGTGATTTGTTTTTTTTTATATTAAAAATTAAAAAATATGTTCTAAAAAAATGTATTTAACGTATATTGGATTCAGAGGAATTTACAAACAAACAGAACATTCGTTTAGTAATAAACTATTATTTTGCATAATTTCACGAATTTATCACACTATGTAGATATGGTTCTAAACTATTGATAATGGTTCTAAATAATTTGAAAAACACTTTCTTCAGTGTATAGGCCCTAACATTTGCTAACATTGTTAGGCTGCATTTGCCTAACATTTAGAGCAAGTGTTAACGAAACTGATACGACTACTTACGTCGATGTGTGTATGTGTGTGTGCTACAGTGGGTGGTGGGTTGTGTATATATCGGAAGTAGTCTCGTCCGTTCTCACGGAAACACATCACACCCGGGTCCAGTCTCACCCCTACCCTCACTTCCGGTCTGACGTCATCATTGCTGACCTTCCCTATGTCGCGACGCCATCACTTCGCTACCACACACACCATAGAAACCCTCCATAAGTAGAATATCAACACTGTAGACCCTATATTCATATGTGATTTTGGTACTTTCACGATATTGTTTTCTCTTAATAACGGTTTTATAACGAATGTTAGTGTTAATTATTTACTTTTGCAACTTGTAATAACATTTCTTATTGCATTTCTATACCAACATACACGTAAATGGAGTGTGTTGTGGCATCAACAATGTGCCAGCTTATTTGCCATTAAACTTGCATTTAAACCAAATGAAATGTCTTCATTTCAGTTTCTAGAAAAGTTTGTTTCTAAAGGTTTGACTCATTAATTATTATGCATAATGTTACAATTCTGAGAGGAGGAGGCCATTTGTATATGCAATAACCTTTGCCATGTATTGTTTATACTATACGCCATTTCAGCTGAGTCGCTGAGTAGTTAGTGCTCGCCTGCTTACCAGAAGGATGTCAAATATCCTGTGAAAAGCCAGTAAAATAGCTTTATTTAGGCGATTAGGGTTTGAAACTGAACCAAACTATCTTTGATCATTGGTGGTAGTAAATGGTCTTGGCTTAGTAACTGGCCGATCTTAGTCATTAACTAAAATCACATCAACCATAAACGCATCATTCATTCAACGCTCAGTCTTCAGCCATTTTAGTAATTTTTTATTTAAAATACACGTCTAGTTGGTCGGCGTCCTAAAAAACAAATCTAATCTAATCGTTGTGTTCAAAATCACTTTTTCAGTACATCTATTGACTATCTTTATGTTTGGTAGCAAAATAATTCGTAGTATGCATTTAAAGTTAACACACAAATTTTTATGTTCAATATGTTAACGCCACATTTATAACCATAAATTGACATGAATCCTTATTCCCACCCAGAGAGATTATAAAATAATTTATTCCCACCCCTCTAGTAAAGTTTCAGCTAAAAATCTAATTTGAGAATTTTTACGAGTTCAAAAAATTACTTCATGAAATTAATTAATTTGATCCAATTAGCGAGGATCTCATCGCTGTGGGGAAGAGCAAAGCTTTTATTGATCGCAGCCTTCTTCAGGACTCTTTTCCAGCTCTTTCATGGAAACTGTTTGCATAAACATTCATTAAAATTATAAATTACTTTGGGGATTTTAATGACTGATTTTAAACTCACTAAGTTAAAAATCGTGAATTTAGTTTGTAGCTCCTTGTTGCATGTTTACGGTTTAAAGTTTGTACAGTATTGCTTGCAAAACAGTCTATTTAAAATCTGATACTGTAGTTAAATTTATAAGGTGCCTCTGTTGAGGGGTTAAACTTAGAGATTTGGTGGCTTGAAATGAACATGACCGTCAATGCAAGCCCCCGACCGTTAATATTTTATGTGAAGAAGATGACATTTAAAATTTATATTTTTGTTTGTGGTGTTTCCGAACCAGTTATTTGAAAAATGAAAATGCTATAAACTGCCTGATGTAGCCTTATAGTTCAAGCTTCTTCCAAGTTTGGATTGCATAATCCAACCAACATTCCGTCGATTCTTTCACATTATCAGATCCTTACATAAGATCCTAGCTTCAGCAGGGGGGTTATAAGGATGTGATGGTGGCGAAATCGCAGAAACACTTATAATTCAATTACGGAAGAAGCTTGACCAATTTGACATCAAGTGATTCAACCTTTAAATTTTAATTACCTTTACAATGTTAAGTATTAGTCTAGATAAGTTTCACGAATACTATGTTCAGAACCGGTATGGATCATAAACATAAACAAATGACGTTGCTGGCCCGAATCCTATTCTAAGAACATTAACATTATGGTTTAGACAGTTCCATATAGGCAATGTTAAATAATGTTGATTTTCGGTCCAGAAACATAATTTGTTTATGTTTATGATCCATACCGGTTTTGTTCAAGTATTCGTGATGGATACAGATGAGTACCGGTTCGATCCTGAGAAAAGTCAGTAGCTTTTTGATGGTTCGAAACTGGACCCAGCTGTCCCGGATCATTGGGCATTCAATAAATGGTACTGACTAATGAAACAGCTGATCTTGGTCAGTAACAAAGCTACACAAGACATCACACTACATTCTACACTCATCACCACTCATATTTGGGTTGAAATACGCACATGGCTGACGTCCCCATCAATATAATATATGAATATGAATACAAAATGTATATTTTCTCTAGTTGACGCACTTGCCATCCCAAAGATTGTTCGATTTGATACCTAGAGGCAAAGTAAACCCTGTTCACCCTGTTTGGCTCGGCGGATCACAAAGGCTTCTACTAGATAACACTTAGGTCGCAGTAGCCCGCGGCACTTGGAGCCCTTTACCTTCACAAAGACTATGTTTGCACACTGGAGTATCTTATGTTCACGCCCGACCTGCAACGTCGTCGTGCATTAAACATCTGCCTCTACTTCTACACCCTCGCGTTGATATAACAAACAAGCGCGGATATTGTGTTGTGAGCTCGAGCCAAGTCTTGCAAACTCTGCCACAACAGAGCAACAGACCTGTGGTATGTGGAAGATCATGAATCTTCTGGTGGTAAAGAAACACGGCTTTTACTCTAAAACCGTGTTACTGACAGTTGAACCTTCTTGATAAGAAGTCAAACTTGATGATATGTCTGATTTTAATTCCCCTGAAATATTTGTTATCGAGCTTCTACTGTATGTGGTAATCGTGGTTCATGATTGGACGATAACTTAGCCAACATGAAGCTGTATGCAAGGTCGGAACATTTTAACAAAAGAATTATTTAACAACGTGTTTAGCTATGTAGTTGTGGATTCTCCAGGTACATCTGTTGACCTAAAGTGTTGTGTTGCAGGACTGACGGCCATGGCGCTGCACCACTCCCTGATGAAGGACAGTCACGGCGGTGCAGAGTCCGCGGCCTCTGAGGGCTCTCCTAGCAGAGACGTCACCTTCTCCGGACACATGCTCGCCCCCACACATCTGTTCCCGACCTTCATGAACCCTCTAGCCTTCCACGCCAGTCTAGCCAACAACCCCGGTCTGTTTCACCACTTCGCCTGGCCGCCGACGTCCACCGACCACGTCACCTCCACCTCGTCCCCGGCCCTCCCCACCAAGGCGAGGAAGCGGAAGAAGAAGGAAGACGTGGAACCCGCGCCTCTGTCACCTCCAACGTCTGGTTCGTCACCGCAGTCCAACGGGTCGACGCAAGAAGTGACCAGTGGGAAAGGTAGTTCGGAAAAGACGGAGAACAGGGAAAAGGTATTTACTTGTGGAATCTGCAATAGATCTTTCGGTTATAAACACGTGTTACAAAACCACGAGAGGACTCATACGGGCGAGAAACCGTTCGAATGTAGTGAGTGCCACAAGAGGTTCACGCGGGATCATCATCTCAAGACACACATGAGACTACACACTGGGGAGAAGCCGTACCACTGTACACACTGCGACAGACACTTCGTGCAAGTAGCGAACCTGCGGAGACATCTACGAGTACACACGGGCGAGCGACCCTACGCGTGCGAGCTGTGCGCCTCAAGGTTCAGCGACTCCAACCAGCTCAAGGCGCACATGCTGATACACAAGGGAGAGAAACCATTCCACTGTGTGCTGTGCGACGGCAAGTTCCGTAGACGACACCACCTGATGCACCACAAGTGCCACGGCAGAGATCACCAGGAGGTCATAGAGAGGTTCAGTCCACCGAACTACTCGGACGGCGGCCTCACGCCGAGTCCCTTCTACGAGCACGACGACCCGTACGAGCACGACGACGACGAGGAGGACAACGAACAGAGTCTTCTCGCTCACAACAACAACTCCCCGAAGAGGATCAGAGAGAGAAAATCCAAATCTGTCATCAGATACCAAAGACTGCCACCTCCACAGCTGATACCGTTGTCTCTGAACATTCCCGAGCAGACCGAACCTGAGGACCTCTCTATGTCTTCGCATCGTCACAACAACAACAACTCCGACTCGCCACACTCCGACGAAGACTCGCCTCACTACAGGCATCCCAAGCTAAGAAAACACCTGGGCTCCTAGTGGACGGTGAGGTACAAGAGGAGGATCACGACTACGGGTACGCCGCGTGCGGTATAGTCATCGTCTGAGCTACGAGTGTATATAGGACTGAACCAGGTGCTCCGTGTAGCAAATACTGAATAATCCAATAGTAGGACCAAACAAGAGTGATGACAAATGCCATATCATGACGCTATTTCATATATTTTTATACTCTAGAATCTCAGAGGTTGTAACTGTTACAGTAGTTTCAAATCTGGCTGTAAAACATACAAAATAACTTAGTCTGACGAGAGCTTTTACCATAGTTTCCTTGCTCAATTCTCCTCGCTCAACCCCTATTGCATTTCATTGATTTTCAATAAGTTGTTTTTATTCTTATTTATTGTTGTAGCTAGTTTGAATATTTTACTTGGGATAGAGCTATCACGTTACTCGCTTTCATATTATATTTGTTTTTGGTTATTTGTGTTAACCTCGCTGGTGTTCCATGCTATATAAACATTCCTAATTCAATTGTGATTTATTTATCGTGCCATTTATTTATTGTGTCATTACTTTGGCTGGCTTTGATTTTAATTAAGTAATATTCGCTATTTTGTCATTGTCTTACTATTAAATATAAAATAAATCGTAAATAACTAGAATTTTTCAAAGTCATTTGTACAGTATCGTTTTATTCTTAGGTAACTTGAATGACATATTGTGAACAATTAATGATAGATTAGTATCTCCATTCATACTTGGCTTAAAATGCCTACTTGGTATGGTCGCCATTTCATAAGAAAGTAAAGTTAAGGATTATATATGTTATATTTTAATGAAACATTCCCATAACTACTTTAAAAAGTTTAGAACTATAAAACGACATCTGAAGGGTATCCACATCGACGGGTCTATTCCACATTTTTCAATCACATAAGGACTGTATATTAAAAAAGAAACTATTTGGTTTGTGTTTTATACGTGTGTTACATACTATTAAAAATCGTAATTGACAGTAATTTCCAAAGCCAGCCAAAGTAAACTGGATGTTGTATGCGCTTGTGTTGTTGGTTGTATAATGTAGATGTACATTTATACTTATACGTTATTGTTTGGCCTATAATGTATACAGGGTTGAAACTCTATGGACTGTACTGTAAATTACTATTTGTATTTTATATATCGTGTTACGTTTATTTTGTATTCGTAGTCTGATCCAAGTGATCAGTGACAACGCATCTACCTCTGTTAGAAATAAGAAAACTCAGCTACCACTGCCCGAACCTAGCTAACACATCCCATTGTTGAAGTAAAACTATAAACGACAAATATTTATTATTTTTATTATTTATATTAACTATTTCTTATGTACCTTAAGTTTATTTTGTTAAGAGCTATAATATTGTTGTACAATGTACACCTTTAGATACTTTGGATTATTTTGTTTGTACCAAATTAAAAGCTATAATAATATTTAATCAATATACACGTAAACTAGTATACAACATTTTCTATAACCAACGGTTCGTAGCCTTGTGGTAGCTGGTCTAAGACTGATTACCTGTGTTTATAGCAATGTATTTTGTACAGATAAGAGTTCGGCAGTGAGATATTGAATTGTATTTAATTTTGTAATATATTAAACCACTGATAGTGGGAAACGATATGGTTTCTTTTATTTGAACCCTTGACAAATAAAAAGTATTTTACTTTAGATTTCTTTATAAAAGTGTACATTGGTTGGTATAGCTAATAGAGTTAAATTTAGACACATAGGGACACTTTTTACATACATGTGTGCTTATTTTACCAAGTGATATTTTGGTCTTAGTTGGATTCTGAATATAAATACATTTTTGACTTCGGCCTACCAGATTTTCACGTGAACTATACACAAACTTGATGTGTTACCTTCGAAATACTGTAATTTTATTTTTAGTAACATAAAGTGGATATAAACGTTCGCCATGAGCTAATAATTAAGAAGGTGGTACAAATATCATACAGACTTCAGATACTTACACTCCTTATTGAATGCACATCATGTTTACAAACATTTTTAGTTTTGAAAGATACAATATTCCATGTGCCTTCAGGCGAGAGGGGAAAATTTAGTGTGGAGGTTCTCAATGGCTTGGTACAAATATACTATTATTCAAAAATTGTTAGGTAACCTTGTAGAATAGTGATAAGTAGTTAGAGTGAGAGGCGAGTCCTGACTGCAACTCTATTATAATCACTGATTTCTGTCAAATAAAACTTTTTAACTTATCCAATATTAAAGTAATAGCTTTTGTAAGCTATATAATCTGTCATGTCACACCAAATATCACAGTAACATGAATTAAGAGAAAATATTATTTTATACATTAAGGTGTGTGTATACATCAGCTATGTTCTCTTATACAGTAGTAACAAAATCGCAACATCTCATCAATTTAGAAGTTCTGTCTGCTTAGGTAGCCAAGATTCAATGTCTGTACTCCACATAATTGTAACAAATGATGGCGGTCGTCTCCCACCCTGAGACGTCATGTTTAGTTCAGCCAGAAGGGGTCTGTGGATCACATTAGCCGAGTATCGCGAGATCTACAGTAATTACTTGTCCCATTGTCTTAGCCCTCGCCATTTCGCCGCGATACACCTGCCTATCACCTGCCCCCGGCCTCGGCACGCGCTGCGGGCCTCATTTCCGCGTGATGGGCCCTCGCCCCGCGCCGCGCCCGCCACAGCGCCCCGCGACGTGTGTTTTTTGCGCGAATCGACTGCGTTTTCTGCCCCAAAACCCGTTAGGGGGTGGAGAATACTATGATTAGTGGCATTCTGGCATATGTTTGAAAACCCTTCACAAAATATCACCTTACAAGATGTTACCCGGTTTTTTGTCTGCGTTAACCTACATTTCGGATAACGGCTCGTTCCTGCACCCTTTGTGTGTAACTATCGGAGCGAAACTCGGCCGAAATTCGCCAAAATAGATTTGGTAAAAAACTGCCCATCCGTGCTGTTAGATTTCCGAGAAAAGGATTTTTTCAGCACTTTGGAGGGCTGTGTTTGCGTTAGCGAAGTACTAATTTATCCATTGTAGTTTTTGATACATCAATAATTTAAAAACGAGTACCACAAATAAAAATGTAATAAAATGTTAATTGTCTTTAAATGTAGACATTCGCTAAAACATCGTTGGTGCTTTGCACATCTCTGTAGAACCATTTACTGTATACCAATGGTAGAACGTAGAAACGATGGAAGACAGCAGCCAACCCCTTAGACGAATGTATACTTTCGATGACTTCAAAATTGTTATTAACATCAAAGATGAGATTTCCGTCACATATCATTTAATCATTTAAATAAGACAGTGAATTACTTTGTTCACTTATTTTAAACTGAATATAAATGCTGTGTTAATGTAGAAATGAATGGGCAATAAGTGAAGATATTGTTGTACTACCTAATATAATGCTAATATAAACTTCTCCGGGGGAGCGAGCTGGTCTAGTGGTTAGAGCGCGGGACTTCGGCCCAAAGGTCCCGGGTTCAAATCCCGCCAAATCACCAATGCAATTTATCCATGTGATAATGCCGCAACCCCTAGGTTCTCCTGAAGTAATGTGAAAAATAATTCCAGTTCGTGCCTAGCGTCTTAGGACCAAAAAATATAAACTTCTTTGGCCTCAACTATTATTCCAAGGTCAAAGCAGTGATCTATTATTCGCCTTGATTCATCATCAAACATTACCCCGTCTGTCAAGACCTCGACAGTTGCCGCGACAGTTCCAACTGCTCTCCTCCCTCGCCGCCGGGAACCAAAGGGCTACGAGTGTTTAATATACAGATAAAAGAGCGAAATCCCGCTTTTGTGCCCGAAATAATAGCAATTTACGGCTGTGTTTCCGTGAAAGGGGAGAGTTTTTTGGAAACGCGTGCGGGCGTGCGCGCACGCCAGTCAACCCTCGCCAAAACTGTTTCACTGGTTCAATATTTCCGCTTCAGCTGAAAGAAGCCTTTCCGTCACATGTTAGGGATGAGATTAAACTGGATTTGCACTAATGTACACTACCGGGGTAGATTTACTTGGGTTGATTGACATTCTGATTTCAATTTTGGGTCATACTGTAGACTATACGGGTGGGTTTACATACTGATAATAAATATTGGTAAATTTGTCATACCAATGAGAAAACATAGTTTATGCTCATTTAGACTCTATCAAGTAGTACCATCAATACAAACTCATAGGATAGGGCAAGTTCCGGATAAATCCAGACAAATGCAGCTGTGAGCTGAGGGAGAGAAAAAGAAGGGCGACTCTTTTTAAATCGACACGTCCTACTGTTTTGGTTCTAGAGTTTTAACATAAACAATGTCGTTCTAATTTAAAATTATTGAATATTCTTCAGGTATTTGATAAGTTTTTAATTTATGATTGTGTGTTTACATAACGATCAAGTAAATAATTTTGATTGCGCACAACTCATTTGCAAATGTACAAACCAAAGGTTGTTGAAATAAGCCATAAGTGAGAGTGGGTTTTGCCTCTAAAATCAATGGTGGACGGGTAAACTTTTGTTTACAGTAGATTTAAAGAATCCCTATTTTTCTCTTCTGTATTCTCGCCCCGTTGCGATACTTATACTTTTAACTTCCAAATTAACTTATGTTTTTCTTTTACACCCATCAAAAGTATTGTGAAATAACTGGGAGTACAGTAAAGGATCCATACATTAATACTGTTTCTAATTTATCAATAACCAAGACACTATACCTCGACGAGAATTACGGGAGATAATGACGATAATTCCATCAAATACGGGATAAACAATAATAAATGTTACAAAATACGTACATTAAAGACGAGATTAATGGTTATGTGGAATCCACCACTACTTGATTGTGATGGTACGGTATATCAGGTGGAGAAATAAATAAATAAGTTAGCAAATATTTCGAATAGTTTACAATTAATTAATGTTCTATGAAGACCAGAAGATGGTTTGTTTCCATAAACCTGTTATAAAAGAAGTTGTAAGAAT